CAGGAGGTTTAATGTAGAAGAAATGTCATGCCTTTAGATGCAAATATTATTAAGAGACACACCCATCAGAGTTACTTTTTAATTAATTAGTCAGAAAAACTTCCCTTAAAATCAGATCAAAAGATTTTACAAACATTTCCTAATCATATTATAACCCCAGATAAACAGGAACCAGAAAAATCTCCTCCATAATTTAAGCTTTTCTAGAATAATAACATCAAAATTTGTTGGTTTCTGTTCAGTTTTATCAGCCGCAGGATTTATTTCAGCAACTATTTAGACATCAGAAGAAATTGTGGAAAAATGTCTTCAGTATTGATCAGTATGCTGATATCAGCATATAAATCAGTAATGACTTGGCATAGCAACAGGTCTCAGTGATTTGGGGAAGGAATCTCATAGTCTTCAGTCTCAATGATGCCTTGTTTGTAACGGTAGATGGTGAAACATTTGCCCTTGTGTTTGTCATCGGTTAAAGCCACAGTCAGGAACTTCATGTTCTTCCTCTCCTTGTTGGCTTCTGCGTAATCACTGAAGAGCTTTGCTTTTTTCTTCATTTCATCTACTTCCTCTATTGAGTCCAACCATTGCTCCCTCTCTTTATCAGCTGAGCAGTCGAGTTTTTCTCCTTTCATGTAACTCTCTAAAGCTGAGACAAAGGGTTCATCATCTTCCACTGAGGTGAAGACAAAGCACAAAACCTCCTCTGTTCTAAGAACTTCTTCATAGAGTTGATTTGGAGATGAAAGATGCTTTGTGCTCTTCATCGTGGACATCAAAGCTTTTAGGAAGCAGATTTCTTTCTCCTTCCAGTCCATCCACTGGTTCAGGTGTTGGTTGCTGAAAGGAGAAGACTGTCTCTTCCTAAGGATCTTTTCAAGCTCATCTTCCTCAAATTCTCCGCCTCGGATCAAAGGAAGCTTCATTGCCAGATCTTGCTGGAGCATCAATTTGTGATCGGAGCACATTTCTTTAAATCTCATCAGGTTTTGTCTATTCTTGGGGAACTTGTCAGCAGTAGCTCTGATAGCATCATTGCATCTGACTTCCAGCAGGCTGAGGTCGTCCAGGATCCTCTGCGTCTCTTGAACCAACCCAACACTTATCTGTTTGACCATTCTGGCAGCTGAAGGGTTTAAAATAGTCAGAGGCAACATCCAGACCTTCAAAGGAACAGCCTGTTCTCCATTGGCTCCCAGTAGATTCGGTAGAGTCTGATACAGCTGAATGGCTTCCTGAAAGGTTAAAGGGGTTTTCTGCAATATGAAGTCTCCATAAAATTTACAGGAAAATTTATTCTCTGTTTTTCTG